TTTGGTTGGATTAGGGGTGGTACTTGGTCCAAAAAGTTTGAGAACCACTGGAAATTAGGAAATTAGGAAATTCTGGTCCAGTGGGAAAAATGCCACCAACATCACTTCCTGTAGCAACCTGATAGTGGTCACTTGTTGAAGTGTTAATCGACGCTTTACTGAGCTTTACAGGACACTGCTGCTGGTCTGTATTTTGAAAAGCCAGGCATATTTGCTGTTTTTTCTGGCCTGTTAAAAGGGGCTGCTAGTTTATGCTGTCTCAAACACAGCGGCTCCGTGCTAAATGTTTTATGCACCAACCCACTAATCCCCTTATTAATTAAGGGAGAGGTTACACTTTCATATACTGTAAGTGTGTACTTTTCCATTTAACAGAAGACACCCTTTATAATTATCCTCAGAGACTGACTCACATCTTTCGTTAGTGGGTGGTCTGTTAGGACAAACCTGCTTAAATTAAGTATCACATAGTTAAATCCCTTTTGTTTTTGTGAACGTATTCACTCATTTCTACAGCACCAGCGATCAGCAAAACAGAAAAAGTGAGTCCTACAGCTTGGGATTTGGGATACATTAAAGGTAAGTGTAGAACGTAGTGTAGCACAAGGGAGGGCATATCATTTTACTTATAATAATTGCTTATACTTATATAGCACTTTTCTGGACTCTCCACTCAAAGCGCTTTACAGGTGATGGGGACTCCCCTCCACCACCACCAATGTGTAGCCCCACCTGGATGATGCAACGAAATGCTCACATACACCATCTGTCAGTGGGAAGGAGAACAGAGCCAATTCAGAGATGGGGATTATTAGGCGTCCATGTTTGGTAAAAGTCAATGGGAAATTTGGCCAGGATGCTGGGGTTACACTGGGATTTTTAATGACCACAGAAAGTCAGGACCTCAGTTTTATGTTGCATCCAAACGATGATACCTTTTTACAGTATAGTGTCCCCATCACTATACTGGGGCTTTAGGACCCACACAGACTGCAGGGTGAGCACCCCCTGCTGGCTCCAATAACACCTCTTCAAGCAGCACCCTTAGTTTTTCCCAGGAGGTCTCCCATCCAGGTACTGACCAGGCTCACACCTGGTGTGCTTCAGTGGGTTGCTAGTTGTGAGTTGCAGGGTGATATGGCTGCTGGTTACATCGAAGCATCCACCAAATAAATTAATAAACAGTAATTAAATTAACGAATGTAGTTAATAGTTAGGGGTGGTAAGGTGGCAACTTGGTGAGCATCACACTGCCTCACACTACAGGGGCCCTGAATTAAATGGTGTGCTATCTGTGTGGAGTTTGCATGTTCTCCCTGTGTTTTTGTGGGTTTCCTCCTAGTGCTTCGGTTTCCTCCCACAGTCCAAAGACATGCTGATAGATTGATTGGCTTCTGGGAACATTACCTTGATGTGAGTGTGTGCATGTGTGTTTCTGTGTACCCTGGTGTGATAGACTGGTGTCCTGTGCAGGGTGTGACCTACCTTGTGCCCATCCCTTGCCAGGATAGGCTTCAGGTCCCCCACAATCCTGTATTTGAGGTGAGAAAATGAGTGGATGGGTGGTTAATAGTTAAAGCATGTAATGAAACATTTAGTACAATTTATAACCACTCCACACAAGTACTACAAATGATAGTTTGAAATGATTGCAAATGGCAGATGAAATAAAATGCATTAGATTACATGTTAATATAAAAAAAATTACAAGTTAGTGGGAGACATGTGGCCTATCTGTCTCGTTTGGTAGTTAGTAGAGGCCTGATCTGAGGGTCCCATCCAGTCATTTCTTGAAATAATCCATCATATTGGAGGGCAGCTTGTTTCCTGCTCCCGCTAGCCTTTGGGGAAAGCAGTGTCTCTTGTCCTCGGTTTGAAATGCACTTCTCTGTCATTTCCACTTGTGCCCTCTGGTTGGTGTTTCACTAAAGATTCTGTGGGAGTCTGCTGGGTTGTCTTTGTCAGGGTTTTTAATGTCTTAGCAGCTCTGTGGCGACACTAACAGCTCTCCCCTCCAGCACCACCAAACCTGGCTGCTTGTGATAGTAAGACGTTAGATTCTCAATCTCTCTCCCTTCAGTATTTCAAATACCAAGGAACAATAAGAGGTGAACATTTAAACTTTGCAGAGAGTACCAATTGCATTTTTAAGAGGGCCAGTCAGCATATATTTCTGATCAGGAAGCGGAAAGCATGTGGGCTGTGTCAAACTAACGTATTAACGTTAACACTAACGTATTACTATCACAAGCAGCCAGGTTTGGTGGTGGTGGAGGGGAGCCCCCATTACCTGTAAAGTGCTTTGAGTGGAGTGTCCAGAAAAGCACTATATAGGTGTAAGCAATTATTATTATTATTATTATTATTATTATTATTATTACTACTACTACTAACTGGGCGTTTCTTGTGCTTGCAGAAGGCAGAAGAGTCAGACTGTTGGGCGGGAGTGACAGCTGTTCAGGGAGAGTGGAGGCCTATCTGTACGGCCAGTGGGGGAGACTTTGCTACCATGACTGGGACATTGCTGACGCCCAGGTTGTGTGCAGAGAGCTGGGCTGCGGCTCTTCCTTTTCTGCCACCGCAGATTTTGGCAAAGGGCCAGGCCTCGTCCATCCTTACAGAGTGATGTGTACCGGACAGGAGCCTTCATTGCATAACTGCTTGTTTATGAGAGGAAACATTGTTCAGTGCTTCTCTGATGCTGGAGTGAGGTGTACCGGTACTGGTAAGTAAGGAACATGCCTGTGTGCCATACAGAGCTGGCTGGCTGCTTACATTTCCTAGATGATCAGTTCCTGCCTAAATATTCCAGCTTAGTTATGGTAACTAGGTCTGAAACTGAAAAGGTTCCCCAGTTCAACAAAAGCGATGCCAGTTGCCAGCGTAAAACACGCTAGGGCACAGTACAATGTACTGTAAATGTACATTTGTAATATTTAGGTACATATATGTTGCAAGGAACACCTGTCAGAGGTACAGTGATTTCTTTAAGAACCAAGAAGACACTAGGATTTTTGGGAATGGCTATTAATTAATACATGTCATTTCACAGGGCTGAAAACCACATCTCTTTTAGATGGTTCTGCTTTCCAGTGTTGTGAAACAGCCGGAGTTAATGTTCCTTCCTGTAACACAGTATATACACACAGAGGCATTTACAGCAAATGAGCATTGGGAGCAATAGCTTGTTTTGAATTTTTAATTGTTCTCAGTACATGTATTTGATTATGCATCTGTGAACTGCTGTTAAATAAGGTTAAAGTCCGATTGGGTTTTAATCTGGTGGACAGATAAAAGACAGTGGTACTGGAGAGATTGCAGACAATATTCTTCTTGATTGTTTTTGCTAATATGTCCTCATAAAGTCTGAATATTTGCAAGAGAAATCTCCGAAATCTCCAGCCTGGTTTGGAGAAGCTGGCCACGCAGGATATGAGAGCTGTTTACTGTACAGTAGGATAAAAATACTAAAGTTTTTATGAATTAAAAGATGCTGTCTTGGATCAGACTGCCATTTAAATGACCAAAATTGCACTTTTATATCAAACATACAATTATGTTATACATTTCTCTCTCTTGAATTTCATCCCTATCATTTGAAGGGATTCAATTGTAACAGCTTTTCTAGTGAATCATAATTTTGTATTATGGTATGAATTAACTGCATAAAGGAGAACTGTTTGAAAAAAACTGGAGTAATATAAAATGTATGGAAAAGGATGGAAAATTGTCTTTGGCATCACAATAAAAAACTACATAAACAAATAACACTCAACAAAATTAATACATGTTAAAAAGCAAACAATAGGCCTATCCATACACTACAAATACACACATTTCACTTTGCCTATATTACACTATCATTACACTAATCCGGTAGGTTAATACAGGGAGTCACCTTGCTTCGTTTAATGTACCGACTGCACAGGGAATAAAGGCAGTCTTGTATTCATTTTTCTTGATCTTGTGCATTCTAAAACAGTTCCCTGAAGGAAGCTGGAAATGGTTTTGAAGAGGATGGAAAAGGGTCATCAATGATTAAAACTTAAGATCCTTTAAACTGCAATACAGCTCTTTAACCTGTTTCTATGGTTGACCAATTACTTTACTAGCAATATTAACGATTCTGGCCAATTTCCCCTTACTCTTAATACGCAGTGTGCCATACCACACCGTGATAACAAAAGTAAGGATGCTTTCTATCAACACTCTGTAAACCCTCTCTAAGATGTTTTGACACCCCCCACACGCTTTCAGCTTCCTGATCAGAAATATATGCTGACTGGCCCTCTTAAAAATGCAATTGGTACTCTCTGCAAAGTTTAAATGTTCATCTCTTATTGTTCCTTGGTATTTGAAATACTGAAGGGAGAGAGGTTGAGAATCTAACGTATTACTTTCACAAGCAGCCAGGTTTGGTTTTATAAACATTAATATGAAGCATGCTTGACTGACACCACCTCTCGCCTTTACTGATCTGTTCAGAGTAATTTTCCACCCCTTCTCTATCATCCCCAGTAAACAGTCACTACTAGGGCCATATCATCTGCATACTTTAATGGGTTAACAGAAATTCCCTGCATTTTCAGACAGAAAATTGTCAATTTGACACAACACAGCCCTGGGGAACACCAGCGTTTAAAAATATTCATTGGAAAATGTGTTAAAGCCGATGTGGGCACCCTGTTAAAAAATCCTTAATCCTTTTTATGAGCCTCCCATTAACATCCAAACCCAAAAGCCATTCCAATAATAATAGCCATACTGTTGACGCTGATACCCTGGCATCTTAAAATGGTGGATGAGATGCTTGAGGCAATTAACGACTAAAATCCAATTAAGCTACATGGCTGAGCTGGCCTGCTTTAGTTTGTAACCTTGCCAGTGTTGTGATGTTAACTAGAAATACACCTGTGTAGAGAGACACAGACCTGAGCCACAGTCTGTAATTGTACCTGTACCTGTACCTGAACCTGTATGTGCGCCTGTGGGTGCCCTGTGACGGACCGGACATCCCATCCAGGGTTTATTCCCTACTTGTGTCCCATTCCCGAATAGCGATGGACACGGTATCAGACCAGAATGTAAGAACGGAGATGCTTGCTTTCTCCACACCTGTCAAGACCACCCGAGGACACGTGTTGTGTGTTCACACACTCGGGCTTCCCAAGGGTCCCTGCTGTAAATGAACAAGCACTGAAGACAACCCAGTAACCAAGTGTGCCTGTTCTGTTCATACCAGATCACTCTGCCCATCACACAACACCCTGCAGCTGTTTGACTTGAGCAAAACTATGTCTTTTTAAGAGTATTAAACTTGGGGAGGACTGACCTTTCAAACAATGTGACAAATATGCATTTTATTATTGTAATCTGTTCACAGGGGAAACCACACCAGCTATGCCAACAACTCCAAAACCAAGATCTTTGGATGGTAAGCAAATCAGTGTTAGTTGTCTTTATTTAAAAGAAGCATGTATAGAATTGTATTGTCTCCTGTGAGTGCCCAATGTGGCATGGCTGGAATGTCTGGATGCAATTTTCCTGCCAGGGTTCAATGCGTTTGGATGCTCCGTGTTATACTGTAGGTGACCCTTAAAATGTTGAAGGATAAACTATACTGGTACTAGTTTAGCTGTAAGAGTGGGTTAATTTCAGGTCTCAAAATACTGCCAAAATGCTTACAACCCTAAAGCTTGGCATTACTGACTGCACGCATGCTTACGGTACTATGTCCCATGTTCAAACAGATGGTGTTCCTTTGCACAGGCCATACATCTGGGCATTGCACACATGCACATGCACTGGCCAAAATATTAGGAACTCCCACTGGTTAAGGCATTTGGCTTATAGTAAGTACTAGGGAATGGATCCAGGCGCTTGTGAAATGTTTGGAGCCCAGTCCCATCCCATTGTTCTAGTGCAATGGCCTTTGCCTGAGGTTGTGGCAATGGTGTGTGGAATTGGTTGCTCCAGCTCTGCCAGATTTTTGCAGCATTGAGATCTGCGGGTGTTCTGGCCAGAGGAGGAAAGTCTTCAAGCCAGCCACACATTGTCTGCCTCTGAGAGAGTCTGCTGTAACCAGGGCTTCTAATATTGTAGCGAGAAAGTGTCAGGAATACAGTATCACTTCCGCACTTTGTTTTACAGATTCCCTAAAGCCCGGCATTGAAGTATATGTACAGTATGGGAACAGTGGAAAATATGTTGTGGTTTGCTCATCCCAGCAGTACATTGGTGAAGGTGCTGTTCATTTGGAAATTGTGTCCCAGAAAACCTACACCCTACAAAATCCCGTGTGTAGCAGAGAAAACATGTGTCTTTTCTCTGTGGATGAAACCCCACCAGTGTCCTTCACCTGTGTGCAGAAAACGCAGGATTCAGGACATGGTCCCTTAACTTTGACCAGTGATTCCCAGACTGTCAGCAGCCCAGGTACAGTAAATGGTCCTCTTTGTGCTGTATTTGGCTGTGTTATTGAAAGCAACTTTATAGCTGTACCCATTTAAACTCTTTAAATGTTTAACCATTTTAAACCCATTGAAAGCTGGCTGCTTGGCTGAGTGCAATAATTTGGTAGTGTTCTGGAAGCGGGGTGCCCTGGGGGCCCGAGGACTTGACCCCCTAGCCCTCCATCTCCAGCAGACTCGCCTCCCCCTTTCCCCTTCTGTATAAAAATAGGGGACTCCCTTTCCCCGTGGGCTCATTCTGGCACCGCACCCCTGCCAGAGACGTCGTCTCTGCACCCTTTCCTCCTTTTGCTCCCTGCTTTTCCGCCCCTAGTGACTAGCCCTCTCCTGTACTATCAAGGGAAAAGAATTAATGAGCTTCACCCCAGTCTGCTGCTCCTCTTTCTGTACCGCCGTGTGCTCTGCAGAGGGACGTTTAGGGGGGATCACTACAATATGCTCAAGGCTACAACGGCAATGTCCTGCTCTGGCATGGGACTCACAACATCCAGTTTTGATTCCAGACCCCTGACAACTGCTCCCCTCTGAAATGTCCCTCACTTCTGTTCTTTTGGCTTAAATTCCTGTTTCTGTCCTCTCAATTTATACCTTCAGCAGAAATGCCTCAAAATCCAATTGCCAGGAACTTAGCAGAGTTGAACCAAATCAGTTTGGCATCAGTAGATTAAATACGAACATTATTCATGTTAATTTTTAATCTATTTTTGCATGTAGTATAGTCAGGTTCATCTTGATCCAGAAAGAAGAGACATTTCCTTTTTAAGAGTGGTAGTGTATGTACTCAATTGCATTTTTAGAATCACTAGCTATCTAGATAAAACCAATTAGTAGTAGTTTGTTTACAATCAGTAACTACTAGGGCAGCTATATTTGCAGGTGTGAATCAAACAGATCTTTTAGCAATTGTAGGCACCGAGTCTCTGGAATGAACTGATAGAGGTAACTGAGGCTATGCATTTCGACAATTGTCTGTTTCTCCTGTTTTTATCCAACTCTCTGTCTCTGTATAGGTCCCAAACACAGTTTTTCTTCAATGTCATCCTTTTCCAAAGCCTACACTGCCTTTATAGTGATCGGTGTGACTGGAATGATTATAGCCATTTTTGTGACTGAGCTCAAGGCAAGACGAACAGGTAAAACAGTTATTGAAGTTGTATTTTTCTAATGCACTATAAACCTTTCCCAGTTCCTTCTTGCACAGTGTAAGTTTTCAGAACATAAGGAAAGTTACAGCAAATGATGTGTGGTGAGCATTCTGGTGCACTATGGCTGCTGTCGCATCATCCAGGTGGATGCTGCACATTAGTGGTGGTGGAGGGGAGTCCCCATTACCTGTAAAGCGCTTTGAGTGGAGTGTCCAGAAAAGCGCTATATAAATGTAAGCAATTATTATTATTATTATTAAATGAGACAACATTCAACACAACCAGCTTATGTGGTTGCTAAATATTCTGAGTATCTCATCTGCCATTTCTAGAAGGAAGCCAGGGTACCTGCTGGATCAAGGCTGGGTACCCCTAGCTTGTTCCATACTCCCTCAACTGTATTGTGAAAAGATGTTTTGCCTTTTCTTCCCTGGTATTTCTGCTTGTGTCCTCTCATGTTTCACCGATCTTGAAGAAGTCGTTAACTCATTGGTTTACAAGTACTTAGCTTGGGTTTGTCACACTTTTTTTGGGTGAGAGCTTCATTCTCAAGTTTTTGTTCAGTGTATATCCCCATTTGGAGTGAATACTGAAAAAGTTTTGTTGATGGTCAATAATCCTGTTCATTTCCTTTTGTGTAGTTGGTAGAATACTGTCATCCCCTGAGATTTACCTACGGTTTTTCTAGTAACCTTAACACTTTGCCTGCTCTGTTATTACTGTTTACCACAGAACTTTCTTTCCTCAACCTCAATCATGTTGTTTTCTTTGTAACCATAAGAGTAAAATATTAATTTCATACATTTGCCATTTACCTTTTTCTTTCTGAATATTTCACATTATGTCAGACACTCCATCCGTTCTGTTGCTCGTTTCATTGTTCTCATTATCCTCCATTATAATACTCTACATTACAATACAATATTCTTTGCACTCATCTTAATTTGGAACTTGTTGTTTAACTATACTAAAAAGTGCTTTCTTTCTCCTCACGTTTATTATTTGATTTATTGAATCATTTGAGACAGCTTTCTAAACTTTGGTTTATTTCTGTCATGTATCTGTCATATGCTTTAACCAGGATATCTTTAAAATGCTGCAATTTATTCTCTTCTCCTATATTCACCCTCTCCTGTTTCTTAAACAGCCTCATTTTTAAGATTTTACTTGTACAGGGAAGAGTATGTAAAACGGAGCACAGGCAGCCGTACTTTACACAAAGGGTTGTGGGAGCTGAAACAAGCTCCTCAGCCACAGTTTTGAAGCCGATACCCTGGTGTATGTCAAGAAATGGCTGGATAAGATCCTCAGACCACTTAGTAACATAAGCTGTACGCGTACGCGTGCCAGATGTGCATTTCCTTTTCATTATTCTTGTGTCAATATCCAAAGACAGTTTAACTTTTACAGAAAACATTGCTTACACAATTTTTTTAGGATTTGTTTGTTCAGAGGAAAGTATAGGCACCATAGGCCAGACATCACCGGCTCGAATGGGAGTCATGTGCTCTTTGTGACCAGGGTTCTGTAAGGGGTGGTACGCTATTGGCTAAACAGCACTGGGGACAGGTGAGCTAAGGCAGGACTGAGTCTCCCCGACTTGCTGCACAACACTGCCCTGTGGCCTAATGTGCAAGTGCAGTCTGCAGGGAGGTCAGTGGGGTGCTGTGGCCTGGGGTAAGAGCAGGTACTGTCAATTTGTGGTACTGGGGCCAGATGAGAACACATTTCCTAGGTTGTGTGTAAGCTGTTGAGAGGTATGGTGGCACAGTGGTTAGTATTGGTGCCTCACAGAGCTGGGGCCCTGGGTTCATGAGACTATCTGTGTGGAGTTTGTATGTTCTGCCCATCTTCACATGGCTTTCCTCCACCCCCCACAGTCCTACGACATACTGGTGGGTTAATTGGCTTCTGGACAATTGGCCCCTCTGTATGTGTTTGTGTCTGACTGTACCCTGGGATGGACTGGTGTCCTGTCCAGGTGTATCCTGTCTTGTGCCCGTTGCTTGCCAGGAGAGGCTCCATCTCCCCCCATGACCCTGAACTGGAATAAGCAGTTAGAGAAGGGATGGATGGATAAGACATCCTCTTCTGCTCTTCTTCACTGACTCAGGGATGACTCAGTGAAGGGTCAGAATAAGAAAGAAACTGGGAAAGTATTTTTTATCCAGTGTTCAAAAACAGTGTATTTTAAGGAAGCACAATTAAAATCACACTTTAAGTGTTACTAAACTAATACGTTTGTCTGCATTTTTTTATTTCACAGATCCTTCACGAAACAGCATCGATAATCACACAAATCATCAAGACGTTTCCCACTAACTGAAATTCCACTTTGTATTAAGATAGTTGTAGAATTGTTTTATATACTTTGATATGAAAATATTAACAGAGAATGACGAAAAAACAAATGAGAAAATTTTCAGAAGCAAAAATGTTAATATCATATCCGATTTATACTTTGCAATGTTTAATGGGACAACATCCCTGCTTTACAAATGGAGAAGGTTTGAAAGGATTTAACATAAGGACAGAAGAAAGGTTGCAAAGGAAGCCATTCACCCCTATTTAGCTTGTTTGCTTGCTAGAAGCCTTTTTTAAGAGTATGTGTCACCATTCACTTCTGTTTTGAAACTTCTTGAAAAAAGTGAAAATGTTAAACTAGTACAGATAAATCATATCATATATGCAGTTTGAATAAGCATACTCTTCAAATTACCGATGTAGACACCATTCTTTTGCAAATCATGTTTTGGAGAAACGTTGTCAATATTTATTGTGTCCCAATATACCTTTTGGCAAGTCAAATAACAATAATCACCATTAACATGATAAATAATGACATTATAAGAGTTCATCGGCATCCATTAATTCAGGAAGATGTGTGTCCTTCAGCCTCTATAAAGTTTATACAAGATAAAGGTAAAGTTTTTTTCAACCACACCTATTAAAGGTAGGTTGTCTAGCTGAGTATGGGGTAAGTTGATCAATACATCAAGGTGCCCCCCCCATGATCTTCTAATCAATATTTAGGTGTAGACTGGAGAACATTGTGAGAAGCTTTGTTGTAGATTAGTAACTCATAATGCCTGTAATCTAAACAGTCATTAGTAAATAAAAAACTAAGTTTACCATAAATCAGTTGTATAGGAACCTAGAAGCACTAGATCAGCCCTGATTCCGGAGAATCTGAATCAAGCAGATTTTCAGGAGATTTTCCTGCCATTTTCTTAAAATCAGCCGGCTTCAACAACACAACTGGGAAACTTGTTCGATATTCCCACAGTTCTTTGTGTAAAGAAGTTCTCCCAGCTTTTTCTGAAACATTCCAACTACACTACATGAGCCTTCACATATTGGATGTCGAATGCTACTGGTCCTTTAATGTTGAATCCAAGGAAGAAAGTAATACTACTGGGTTTTCGCACCTCTGCAGGGTTGTCAGGATTCACCTTGATTTTCTTTTTATTGTAGACGGCAAACACTTCTCGATTTTTGATGACCCCTGAGACACGCTCTAGGAGTGCAGAGACCTGTGTGTTTCTCCACACCTCCCCATTCCTCCACTTTTCATTGACTTGCCCTCGGGGGCAATGAAGGCATTCGTCAATCTTTGATTTCTGAATCATCCTTTGCACTCCTGTTCCCTTTCCGAGGAAGAAAAGAGGTACGATGTAGCGGGATCGATAGTACTTGCTGTACTGAGTCTGGAAGGATCTTTCAGTCTCGTCGACGAATGAGTTGAGGTTGATCTTGTCATCATCTGGTGGCCAGAATGATAAGAAAGCCAGGAGATACAGCTCTGCGGGTTTATACCTCGCTTCACTTTCCAATAAACTGCGGAGAGTGGGTTTTAGCTCTTCCTGCGGGATTATTTGGTTGACCCATCTCCAGACGATCTTCAGAAGGGTACTGCAAACCTGATCATTAATTTTAGCTGTCCCTGTGGCGAGTTGCTTCCTCAGACGTTCACATCCTTCCTCCATGGTTACCCTGTCATAAGCAATGTAATTAGAAAAGCACGTACTCACGTCTTCCTGGAAGTGCTTAGGGTCATCTTTTAATATGCTTGGCTTGGAAAACGTGAGGTAATGGTCTGCAAACTCATGTATCCTCTCCACATCATCTTTCAACCTGGAGAGCAGTCGTCTGTATTGCTGAAGTATTTTCACTGTCCTGTCATCCACTTCTGTGAGAGAACGGATCTCGATTTCCCGTCTTAGGACTTTCTTCATGTCTTCTGATGGATGAACAGAGGTGAGAACTTCGAACACTTTGTTGGCAACCTGTATATGGCCAAAGAGTCCACTGGTATTGTAGATGCTTGACTCCCTTCTTAATCCATTGTTTTCCAACTCCTCTGCTTTCTCACTTTCGGCCAGAGTTTGCTCCTCTCTAAAGGCATCAACAGCTTTGTTTGCCAATTCCAAAAGTAATTCTAACTTTTGAGGCACATCACATTTGTTTAATACATTCATCAGATGCTTCTTATAAACCTGCCCAAGGGTATCAGCCACAAACGAGTTGTCTGGATTTATCTGCTTAGCCTCCTTGGCCCATTTCTCTGCAAGCAAATATTTTTTTTTCTTAAGGTAATAATACCTGGCTAAAACTTGTGAAATGATTGCATCTTTGCCAAATATGGAGGCTGCCTTTCGTAAAATGGGCACACACTTAGCTCCAGGTTCCTCATAGATTCTTTCAATCAGCATTGAGAATCTAGCCTCTGGTAACCTTTTCTGCAGCATCTCTCGAATGATCTCCTGCAACAACTGACGTTTTCCCTTGAATGTTGTAAGCAAGTTTTCCATAACCTTGCTCCTTGTCCAGCCTTTGCTGGCCAGCTTTTCACAGAACTCGGCTGCGATCTTATGGTGAACCAGACGGACATGATCACACTCAATGAGCTTCTCTTGCTTTCTGAAAGTGATTAAAAAAGCTGAAAGGGGCTTCATTCGGTCTTCAAATGGGGGACCCCCATAAATATCTGGGGGCCCTAAAAACGCCTCACAATCTGATTTTTGAAGAGATGATCCAATGGAATAAGTGTTCATTAATGCTAAAAATGAGAAGAGCTGGGTTTTACGTGAATATGGTAGCACTTCTTGTTCTAAGACACTCTCAACCACCCCCTGAATATACTCAGAACTGTAGTTTTGCTGCATGACATTAAAAGCATAGAATGTCTTGTGGTCTTTGTGTTGTTTCTTAATAACATCAAGCTTCTCATCCAACATGTCCTGCTCCTGGCATGAAACCTCTGCAAGAATATTAACACAATTGCCAAAATGGCCTGCTTCTTTTACATGGGCATCCCGCTTACAGTTCAACACAATCACCACAGGGGTGGTAGTGCTGGGAGCTTTTTCAGCTATTTTGTGCAAGAAGCTCTGTTGCTGTTTTTCAAAGTGTTTTAGGTTGTCGGCAAGTAGGAGGACAGTTTTGAAGTTCTTTTCTCCTCCTGCATTGAACAGCTTGGTCACCTGGCGAGCGATGTCTTCAGATTCTGCATCTGTGTCTTTTAGGACAGCGCACCTGAGCTCTTCCTTGAAGTCCCACAGGACCTGCATGGCTAAAGTCGTTCCACCACTTCCCGGCTGGTGGCATAGGTTAACAAACGATACGCTTCTGTGATGTTGGCGGTGCTCCTCGATTAGGCGCATCAAGCTTTTATAGGCATCCCTCTTGATGAAAGGTGACTTTTCTTCCGTCTCTGCTAGGAAGTTGAGCCACTGGGCTTGTCCACCTTTGTAGAAGTAAGCAGTGGAAAGCTTTTGGGTATCATCGGACCTCTCATATTGTTCTGGGCATAAGATTTCAAGGCAGGGCGTTACATCCTTCACGGCGGTTTCGAGGGCAGTTATGTCTTTACAATGACTGTCCAAGTGTTCGACACAGTTGGCCATTTCCAATGTTTCTGTAGTCTGCTCAGCCATGGCTTAATGAAGAAGCTTTTCTGTTGACCATTAAGCACTCAGTGAGGTCTCAATTCCCCCAAAGGACCAGATTGGCTCCTTTCTGGTGTCTCTTCCTGGCAATGTCCTACAACGTTTAAAAAGAAAAAGCATATTTCATAAACAGCATTGTAGAGAAACTGGTTTCAGTGTTGCTTAGCAGCATTGTTCTGACATTTTAGTTTCCTGTTTATTAAATCCTGTTAATGAAACCATAGTGCAAGGGTGTTTCAGTAAAGTAATGGGATAGTAATATCGTCCATATATAGCTAGAGCTATAGTCAATAACAACGGTGTGGCAACGTCACTTTTCCCCATAGAGTCTAGACCAGTTTAGTAATAACACTTCATCACCCATGGATTCCTACTGTACTGGATCTGATGCATGTCGGGCTCAAAGAGCTAAGATTGAGAGCTGCTAGACAGGTATCTCTTGAATGATTTAGAGATGCCAAGTACCCTAAACATCATATGTTTGGAAAGAGGCAGTAAACCTACAAAGATGGAGGTAAAACATACAAACTCCAAAGGTTTTGATCATATTGAATGGATGTACATGTTTGTGATACTTAAATGTTTCGGTCTTATAACTAATAACTAATTATGGCAAGTCTGATTGCCTCTTGTTGCACAGGGGTACAAGACAAGATTGTCCTTTATCGCCCCCTGCTGTTTGACATTGCCTGCCTCAACGTCACATATCTTAAAAGCTCATTTGCAACAACCAGAGAATGCAGGAGGTTTAGCTCTTCCTGTCTTTCATCATTATTATTGGGCTGCAAATGTAAGAAACATGACGAACAGGCAAACTGTTTTTTTCCCCCAGGACTCTGGTACAGACAAAACACTCCTGTGTGCTGAGACACGGAAGCACAAGCCAGCACTACAGCCTCTCTCCCTGCAACCTGAGTCACCCAATACAATGACAGCTCAGGTGTTATTCTGAGGATCACCCTCAGAATATTAAATCAGATTAAAAAGTGTACAAATAACCCAGAACCTCAGATTGTGCTCCAGTTTGTTACAAGCACTCCTTTACTCCTTCACAAAATTATATTGTGTTTAAAAAAAGACTAATTGTATGTCCCCAGATGAATGAGTCCCCATTACCTGTAAAGTGTCCACTTTGAGTGGAGTGTCCAGAAAAGCGCTATATAAGTGTAAGCAATTATTATAATTATTATTACATGAGCAATTCGCATTATTTAACAAGTTAAAAGACAAATATGGCCTCTCACAATCAAATTTTTTACATTATTTACAAAATTAAATGGATGCATAAGCAAAAAGTGCCTCAATTTCAAAATCTCCCCCAGTCCAATCTGTTCTATGATCTTGTGCAACTCTGGATATTGAATATCACACCTCGTTTCCTTTTTC